GCCTGCCTACTCGCTCTTTTTTCAATGATCCAGACTACAGTCTTCGGTTTGCAACTGCACATTAGCACCAGCTGGACGTCTTGCGTATATTATAATACATATGTGGTCACGTACGCACGCACCGACCCAGAGGTTCCCGAGAGAACTTTACTCCGTTCGATCGAGAGGCCCCGGAGGGCGTCAGGTTACCTTACCCGGCTCAAGTGCTGCGTCGTCGACGGATGTTGCCGCACGCTTACATAAGTCCGCGCAACATCCATTGCACCACATTAGATAACATCTTGGCAATAACACCATAACCCTGCCAATACTGCTGTCTCATATGGCTGACGTATTGCCTCGCGATTGCACCTGTTCACGCCATCGCGAGGTAACCGTCAGCACGAGGGTTTAAAAAGGAGTCGGGACAGAGGACTGAACGGAGACGAGACGGAGTGAGCAGCAAGACGACATGGGACCAGCGGCCTGAACAAACGCCGACAACGCTCTTTCATCATTATTATAAATTTGGACAAGTAATAATCACTTAACGAAAAAAAATGTTAGTGTTCTCACCAACCGTTCCAGACCATTTTAACTTCCTAGTCAAGTCTAGAACAACCCGAGACGCTACACATATATGCACCTATCAAAGGCTTCAGGCAGTGCTGGGGCTGTATAAAATATTATTTTCATATTATGGCACTTATTTAAATGGGCGGGGGAACTCTTTTTCTACTTTCATTACACACCACTTAGAATTAATCATTGGATATAGTTTTTAGGTCGACCTGATCATGGTCAGTGCTCCCGGTTGAAAGTTTAGTCTGCATGGGGTGCATGGGGTCTGACATTCCAGGCCTTGTCATCCTCATAGCGCCGTGGGAACGAAACGGGCAGCTACAGGATAGACTTGAACAAACGATCGCCCTCAATCGAATTCGAAATTGCCTAGCTCAAAGATTCCGTCAGAGACAATAAAGATGCCGTAGAACTAACAAGCAGTTCCTACGCAGCTGTGCAGCCCGATTCCTCCGCAGCGAAAGGGAGGGAGGAAAGGGGAGAGTTAACGAACTGCTTAACCCCTCTGACCCTTATTTCCGCGAGGCTCTGCGCTATTGGTGGCGTGTTTTGACGCCAAACCAACGGCTTAACTCGGCTGCTGACACTGTCTCACATGTTTTTTCTATGGTGCGACTAACGCCAACACAAGAAAGAAAGGATCCGTAAAGTTTCCCAAATAAGAGTACTGTATTCCTTTAAAACAGACGTGCCCGTTCAAGCAGGTAAGAAACGAGATGAGTATAAATATTGGAGGTCCATAGTGATGCTACTGAAGAGGTGCATAATTCAAAATTGAGATAAATCGTTTACCAGCGCGCACTTAATATGTCACTAGATGTTTTATGGGGGCATAACGAGTCTTATTACGCCCGGTGCGCTTAGTATTGGCTGCTATTGTACGGCGTCACGTCATACAGTCGTTGCTCTATTCGTTGGTACGTCATGACCTGCCCGTGACGACGTGATATTACGCCTGGAGCTGGGCGTCGTTACTTGGTAGCCAGTTCTGCACAGCAATGATTGCCTGCTATTGCTCCCGGGAGTTATGCTAAGGTCAGCTGCGGGCCATTTCGTTCGCCTCCTCGTGGCTCCGAGGCTCCGATCAAAGGCGTCGGTATGTGTGTTTCACAATGAAGGGTTTGATTCGCGCTACGCCGCTTTGTAAATTGTGCCAATTAAAAATAAGTATGCTCAAAACGGCACTGCAAGGGAAACAACATTTTTTTAGAGCGCAACTCTTAGGCGTCCGTTTCCGGCTTGAGCAGCGTCGCCGTCGCCGTTGGCGTAATTGCGCGTTGGACTATGGGACGTTTTCGATAATGACGTAACCAGCGACGTAACTCGTAATTACGCGTTACATTACGGGACAGTACGGGTTCTTTCGTTCCTCTGGTCACCTTGCGCCGTCAAGACTGCCAGGTCCGGATGGGGTGACGGGCTTCGTTGTGGGAAGCTGGGCGGGTCTTGCGGAGACGAAGTTGCTTCCCTTGGCCGTCGACGACTAATTCAGTTGACTTTGGAAATTACTTTTAAACAAAACAATTTAATACTTTTGAAACGGATGAAAATACAAAGAAAAACGATACTGCGAAATGGTAACTTCCCCTGTACGGGGTTGGGAAGGAGGTGGTCGGGTGTTAGCTTCTCCAAGCTCGGGAGTTGGCTGGCTCGTGGGATTACGTCCCGATTACGGGGACAAAAGTCCCTCGGAATCCCACGACCTGACTCGATTACGGAGCGACAGCTCTCGAGCCCCAGCACGAACTGAACTCACTCGCTGAGTTTCTAATCCCAGTTACTCGTTGGTCCGTCCCCTTTTTGTGGACCGGCGAATCCTCGACGCGTTGTGAGACAGGCGTTTCCCACCGCCAACCAATCGGCTCACCTTCTCGCCACGTGGGAATTGCCTGTATTCCCGGGTGGGAACCCGCGGTCTGCGTTCCTCTCACGGTCAAAGGTCGGGCTGGTTCGGATGCAAGCAAAGCCATTTCTCGCATGGCAATGCGGACAACCGACCCCAGTGTGGATAGCGCCGACTAAGTGAGCCATCCCGCAATACATTCTGCCAGAGGTGGTCTGACGTTGCCGTTCTGCCGCGACCCCCCACACTCGGGCGAGAAAGACTAAACCGATGTAAGCGCGCCGTGTAAACAGCGCCGGCCAGAGCCACTGCGTTCTGGTGGTGGTGGTGGTGGTGTAACTTTATTTTCCCGGCCCGGAACGCACGCTCCGATTCTCTCGGCAGAAAACGCGCGTTCCGAACCTCGCGTCGTAAAGTACGCCTGTCTCTCGAGGTCGCCCGCCAAGGGAAGTGTTTACAACAGCGCTTTTCCCCCAGCCAAATCTCCCTGGTGCTAACGGCCCACCCGCGGAGCTCTCATCGATCCTTGCAGGGACGTTTCCGATAATGACGCCACACGTCACTTCTCGTCTGACATCACGAGAGACGGTACGAAGGTCACTCGTGAAGATCACGACGGAGGTCCTTCACCTTTGCGACCTTCACAGTGAGGGTCACATCAAGGGCACTCGTAAACGTCACAACGAAGGTCACGACCTTCACGAGGTTTTCACGAGTGACGTCACGAGGGTCACTTGGGCCACGAGTGACGCCATGAAGGTCACGTGGAACGTCACAAGGGAGGACGGAGGGAGGCGGAGGGACGGAGGGGGAGGAAGAGAGGAGGAGGGAGAGGAGGAAGAGAGGAGGTGGGGAGGAGGATGAAGGTGGAGGAGGGAGGAGGAGCATGGAGAGAAAGAGAGCTAGGAGGAGGGGGAGGAGAGGAGGAGAGGAAGAGAGGAAGAGAAGAGGATATGGAGGAGGGCATACCTTCCTCTCCGTGCCTCCCCTTCTCCTCCTCAAAAGCTGCGCTATAATTTGGCATTGCAGGGAGTTGTGAACGTATTTCTTTCTTTTTTTAAAGAGAATTGATGGGACAAGGATTGTTTAAATCATTTTTTCACAAAAAACAATTTCGCGCAATATTAATGCTATTAGACACAATTTGTTCGAACGCGACGGCACGCTCTAAGCCCCGCCCGAAAATCAGTGGCCCCACTCATTACTCCTAGATTGGCTTGCCTGCTCGGCTGAACACGCTAAGAAGTCTAGTATTTCCCTTTCGCGACATCCGGTGCGTCTAGTCTTTCGAGTGAGCGGTCTGACACCGCTTGTTAGTCGTGCGAGCAAATTCTTGGCAGCCACTCGCATCGTGTGCTATTTCACCACCGTCTATCGTCGTCTGCGATGCCTGTGGGACGTGGACACAAAACCTGCTTGTCGGCGTCCATTTTCTCTTCCGTTCGTTTGCTGCTTCGCCCCTGTCTAAAAAATTCTGGAATGCTCAGAAGACGCGACCATAAAAGCGGCATTTTAGCGTTCCATCATGCATATGACACGATCTAAAACAAGCGTCTGTCAGCGTCCACCAATGGGCGGTAATAAGGAGCCAAGAGGTCTAAAATATCAGCAAAAGGAATATGCTGTCCTTTCAGCTTTACTGTTATTGTTATATTTTTTACATGGCATCCGCGAGCAAGGTGTGTGGGCGTCATGGAGCACAGTTAACACGCAACGTAAAAATATTGGATTTGGTAGTTCAGGTGCAATGCAAAATTTGAAAACTTGCCTTTCGAGGCGCAATGACAGGAACGCACATAAACAAACTTGATGGGAGCCGAACGCCCGGTTCCCTCCAACCAAATGGTTCGCGAATTCTTACCTGTGTAAGTATCTTCTCGGTATTGAAACCACTTTCGCAATCACGACGGTTGCACTATTCTTAAAAAAGCGGGGCCGGTTTTACGGAAGCGAACAGTTTTATTCAGCACCGACACGCGCAAAGCAAGAGACCGAGCCAGTTCGATCAAAATAGTTGATCTCGAACGCTAGGTTTAGGCCAGTCCTGCTACGAGAACAAGCATCCGCACAGCTCTTCCGAATGTGCGTTTTTGCGGCCGTTATGTTTGGCAAACTACTTCAGTTGAAGAGATATTCCCCTAAAAAGCTCTGTGAACTCAAAAGCACTCGCACTCATAAAAATTGACAAGCTCAACAGGCTTCGCTCGATCAGCACCCCGCAGACGCCGGCAGGCATATTTGTAAACGTTTCGAACCAAAGCAGGAGAAGGAATCTCAAATACACTTGAAAGAAATAACGACTCTATCTTGATTATTTGCTTCTGAAACATAAAAAAATAGTCGATTAAAATGCTATTACGACACGGAGACACAAATATACAATCAACGTTTCAGATGTAAAACATCTCCATCCGATGAGAGATTTAAGCACCTTGTAAGCAAGGGGTGGGGCTGAACGGGCTGCGACATCCACCTTCTGCACCTAAGTTACGTGTAACGGCGTAATTGTTGCGCAAGCAAAAAGTTTTTTCACTGAAAATTTCTTTTTAGAACAACGTGTCCTATCTATGTCCTTTAAAAAAAACTTATTTGCCTTTCAATGTCCCTGGAAGGAACATGAAAAAGTATTCATGCTAGCAAGGTTTTTATCTGTATATGACAAATGAGAGCCCAATTACCCACACACTTTACCACTCAAAATTCGTTGTCTTGCCGCCCGAAAACCACCAGTCGCGAACTGGCCGGTTTGAGTCGAGCTAACTCTCTTCGCCGTGGTCACGTGCCGTTTTATAAGCTAAACGCAACCACCAAATATAATCAAAGTCATGGGTCATCGAAAGTGCACACGCTCCATATTAAAAATTAAAAAAAATGATGCCCACTTTTGTGGCTTCTAAAAAGCTGCAAATACGTTGATTGAAAAAACAAAAATTGCACAGCCACGCGACATTTGTCAACTCTCTCTTCTAAATTTTTTCTTGTCTCCTCTCCAGTTTCGGTTTTTAGCAGTAGCGTCTTTTTGACTTTATTAAAAATACACGTTGCGCTGTAGCAAAATATTGATTGGCTATAGATTTCTGACACTTAAATAAATCGCTTGGCAAAAAAAACAGTAAAAAAACATTGGGGGGTGTATGCGCTTTTCCAAGGCTCCGGTCCCAAGAAGGCCATCTCGAACAAGCCTTTAGTTGAACCACTATATGGCGGCATCTATCCGTGTGGTCCAAGAACAGTGGTATGCCTGGTGGTACTGATATTACTATTCCTTTATGTGTGGGATTCAACCGCGATTTATGTATAGCTTTCTCGTCATAGATGCGCTCTAAAAAAACCCGTAGGTCGACTTTACCGCACAACACTCGGAGAGCCAATCACCGCAACTTACGGAGGCAGCTCAGCCAATGACGATGCCGAAACATATGTTTAGACCAAAAAACGCAGTCTGAGTTGTGACATTAAGCAATGCAAGCGTGACGTTTTGCATTGCTTAATGTCACAACTCAAACTGCGTTGTTTTTTTTATCTAAACATGTTTTTCGGCATCGTGATTGGCTGAGCTGTCTCCGTAGGTTGCGGTGATTGGCTCTCCGAGTGTTTTGCGGAAAAGTAGACGTACGGGATTTTTTTAGAGTGTGGCACAGAGTTTTTTCGGAACAAACGAGTTGCTACCTCCTATGTATACAGGTTGTGCGCTCAGGGTTGGGTCGAGGAGGAGGAGGAGGAGGAAACTTTATTATTCTTCCGGGATCAGGTATTGGGGGTGGTGGAGGCCCAGAGGGCCGCCGCGATCGCCAGGGCCCGGGAGGTGGTCAGGACTTGGGCTGACTCCTCCGGGTCGCGCAACATCTGCTCCCAGAGGTGAGGGGAGGGAAGAAGGGGGGATGGGTCTGCGGGGCATTCGCAAAGGGAATGGTAATGAGTGTCGAATGCCCCGCAGGCAGGACAGGCGGGAGAGTAAAGAGGTGTGGGTGAGTGTGTATTAGTTGTGTTCGGTGAGGGAAAGTGTGTGTTTGTAAGAGGCGCAGCATGTGTGCTGCCTCTTGGGAGAGGTGCGGGTGCGGAGGTGGGTATTGGCGGCGGAGGAGGCGGTAGTGTAGGGTAATATCCCTGTACTGCAGGAGGGAGGTAGGCTTGCCTGCAGGGGCATCGCGTGTAGGCGCAGTTGAAACGGCGGCTCGGTCGATAAGTTCGCGAGCACGATCGTGCACCATCTGATTAGCTCCTACGCCTGTGTGGGCTGGTGTCCACAGCAGGGTCACGGTGTCGGATGGAGGGTTGTTGGTGAGAATTTGGAAGGCCATGGGGGAGATATTGCCGCGAATAAAATTGCGGATGGCCTGCTGAGAATCAGATAGGACGAATTGGGGGGTGGGTCTCTGGGCGAGCGCAAGGGCAATAGCCGCTTCCTCCGCCGTGGTTGTGTTTGTAGTGAGGATGGTGGCCGCCGTGACGTTTGGTGGTGGATGTTGGCCGAGAACAGTTACACAGTGTGCAGCTTTGTGAGGGTAGGGTGTGGCATCAGTGTATAGTGTGCATGGTGATGGTGGGTATAGTTTGGCGTGGATGTTGGCTCGTGCTAGTGGCCGGGCTTTATGAAAAGTTGGGTGCATGTGGCGAGGGATTGGGTGGACTCGAATGCGGTTACGTATGTGCGGTGGAATGGGGAGTGGGGGGATTGGGATGGGGGGGGGGAGTATGTTTATAGTGTTAAGAATGTAGTGCCCTGTGGGTGAGGATGCGAGGCGGGTGAGTTGGGACATGTGGTGGGCGTCTAGGTGTTCGCGTATTGTGTTGTGTATGCCAAGGTCGAGCAGGCGGTGCTTTGAGGCGTGAGGGGGGAGTAGGAGAGCATGTCTATATGTCTTCCTGAGGAGCGCATCAAGGGAGTCGAGTTGGGTGGGTGTAAGGTTAAGGTAGGGTAGCTGGTATAGGATACGGTTGAGTAGAAAACTGTGGACGAGTCGGAGGCGGTCCTGTTCCTTGATGCCGTGGTGTTTAGTGGCGATCCTTCTAATTAGGTGTGAGGTTTGGGTAACATATTTCTTTACGTATTGGAGAGTGGGTGCGGGTGATCTGTTGTGTGTGAGGGTGAGGCCTAAAAGTCGAACTTGTTGTGTGTGTGGTATTGGGTCAGAGTGTATAAAAAGTTGGATGGGGGGGTTTTGGAGGGGTTTGTGACGAGGCGGCGTAAAGGTGAGGAGAGCGGATTTGTGTGGGGAGCATCGGAGCTCCAAAGGTTCGATGTGATGTAGGACATGGTTGAGGCCGTTTTGAAGTGTCGCTTCAATGTGTTGGTCGGAGCCTGGGTCGAGTCACGGGCTTTTCCCCGCCGATCTGGGCGAGCTAGATATATTGTTTTTGGGACATAAGCCAGTAACATGCTGCTGGCTCTGATTACCGACTAACTCCAAAGCAGGATGCAACGAATATATTTTGTGGTAGCCGCTCGATCTAAGGGAGCGTCAGGATGATGTTCGGCGCGCCTAGATATTCTTTTGAGCGCTATTAGATGCTTTCCGAATCAAGAGGCCCATCTAGAGAGCCTAGACTGAAGAGGAGGTCAATCTGCGACCATGGCGAGCGTTTGCAATTTAATAGCGGACTACCCGTGCGGAGATTGGTCGGTAATGCGCATGCGCTGCATTCTCGCTAGGAGAGAAGGGAAGCAGACAGAAAGGTGCATAAGACAGACGCTTTCCCTCTCCACTTCGCAGCTTGCTTTCCGAACCCAGCCCAGAAACCACATGACTCCGATCGAGTAGTTTGACATCCTGAAAAACAGGCTTCCTAGGTCCAAATATCTGCTTCGTTCTTATTATACAAACATTTCTTACTCATTATATCAGCGTCGATAGTTTCTTCCTAAGAGCTCTGATCACCTTCGCGGCATTTCTGCGCCATTCACCGTTCTTAAATGTGGGCCTCCTGTGCCTTTTCCTTTACTCTTGGACTATAGGTCGGAGCAGGCTCTGCGTCGGCGCGAAACGAACCACTCTTTGTTCGAAGCTGGATCCGAAGTTCCGAACACAAGCTGTTTACGTCTCCTCCTCGGCGAGAGCGGCGAGAGATATCAACTAAATGTGTTTTTGCATCATGCTCCGAATTTAGAAACACGTTCAAGCCATTCAAAATGTTATTTGGTGAACACCACAACCCACACAAAAATGGTCTATAGACGTCTATGGAAAATTCTATGGTGACGTATCACCTTCTATGGCCCTTTATGGTCAGCAATAAGAAACCATGAAACACGCTATAGCCACATATAGAAAAATGCATGTCTTCATAGCTATAGAATATCGACCATTCCGATTTCTATACCTGGCTATAGAATAGTTTATGGCTATGCGGCTATAGACTTGCGACTATTCAATATTCTTTAGCGAGTTATAGTATTATGTATGTCCTTTATGCTATAGATTCGCGACTATTGAATGTGCTTTTGCCGGCTATAGAGTGGTGTACGTCCCTAAATTTATAGACTCGCGACCATTGCATTTTCTTTAGCCGTCTCTATGGTGCTTTATGTCCCAAAAGTTACAGGCCTCCGACCTTACAGTGTGCTTTAGCCGACTATAGAGTGGTGTATGTCCTTAAATCTATAAAATCGCGACCATTGCATTGTCTTTAGCCGACTCAATAGCGTTCTACGTCATCAAAGCTATAGCCTCCGACCTTTCAATGTGCTTTAGCCGGCTATAGAGGGATGTATGTCTTTCGAGCTATAGACTCGCGACCATCCAATTTTTTTAGCCGGCTCATTGATACCCCATTCACACGACTGTAAAGGTATCCTTAGCTAAGGAACCTTTACTCTCTGCGGCCAATCAATTAACGATATTCCGCCCGTGGCGTGTGCTCGCGACCCAAGAGGACGGGCTTTTTCGCCGATAGCAAAGGGGCCTATGCTAAAGGTACCTTTATGTTGACCGTGTGAATGGGGTATATTCCTTAAGCTATAAGCCCGTGACCCTTTTTTTACTGCAGATGTAAGAAGGTGGAAGAGAGTCATTCATGCGCTCAATCGGGGCCAGAATTTTCTTTAGCCAGGTTAACTGAGCGTACGTCGCCACGGTTATACGCCCGCGATCACAAAAACGTCCTTACCTGCCTATATGACTATTGCATTTTTTCCGGCTGCTTTCCCTGCTCGTTGCCTTATTTTGGCGTTGACGTCATCTCAATCTTCCGTTTTTTAGCTCTAATTATCTGTCGTTTCCAGTGCATATTCTAAGCATATGTATTTCGTAGCGCGCCTTCTATATTGTCCGTGTCCCTGCCATGTTTGTATTTTTTTTTGCCTGCTGAGTTAAATATATTTGATGTTTTTTGTGTATATTTCGTCGTTCTCGACGCGGCGTCAACGAACATAAAGTCGCTGCTTACCCCACTACAGAGGTGAGCTTTACTCTTGTCACGACGGTCTATCGCGCTATAAAGCGGTCTATATGACTCGAATAAAGTCTCGAGAGGGCTGTTTTGAATGCCGGTGCACATGTCATCAGTGTAGGTAGAGCAACGACGTAGCAATCGCGACGCGAGAGCCGAGTGCGCCTCGATGTGGCCGGTCGCGCTCGCTCTGTGGAAATGTAAGCTTGGGACTCTCGAGCAGCGTTAGCTTACTGAAGATGCAAGACACTACTTTGTCTTCGCGAATCCTTTGCCCTTCGAATGGCTGCGAAGCCGTACCAGCGCCAGGCGTATACCCTATACGCAACGTCCTTAACAACAGTTCGCACAGCATCGGAACCCTCCGCCTGTGAGCGCCAGGGGTTCGCCGTCGCGGGGATCATGTTCGCGGGAGTTCATGTTCGCGGTGTTTCATGTTTGCCGCACGAGTCTATAAAATGCTCCTATTCAAGTAACGCCGATAAATCGTCGGCGCTAGCAGACTGCCAGCAGGCTCCAGAAAGGTTGCGATGCTGCGTGGGCGGTCGCTGACAGGCGCTGCTGCCTAGGGTACACCGAGCACTGGAACGTTTTCGCCGGCGTTCGCAGGGCAAAGATTCTCAACGACAAAGCAGCGTCCTGCATCATCAGCAACCTAACGCTGCTCGAGAGTCCCACACTCACATTTTATCAGAGCGAAGGCGGACAGCCAGATCGAGGCGCAGTTGTCTCTCGCTTCGCCATTGCTGCGTCGTTGCTCTGACGAAACAATTGACACAGTTCTCTCGATACTTCATGAGCGTTAAATCTACGAGTATATAGTGCGATAGAGTGTCGTGACATCAGAAAAGCGTAAGCAGCGGTGCAATGTCCGTCAACGCCCGTGTCGAGAACGGCGAAATATACACAAATAACAGCCAAAAAAAATTAATATTATTAGGCACGCGCTACCCTAGGTGCGTCCTATTATCTCTCTGTTCTGCGAATTCAACAAATCAGCAAGCGCTGTGGCTAATTTTTCTTTAAATTATCTGACATCAAAGTCGTTGGAGCTTATTGGAGCACACAGCCCCACCATGTGTCATCATGGTGCGCAGAGGTTGTAATTGATCACAGTGGTATAGACTGAACTCACGGATGAAAAACCTTTTACGGCAAAACTTTCTTAAACCACGCAATCAGAAATGCCACAAAGATGCAAAGATTCCCAAATTTGAAGTTTAAGAATGCGAACCTAACAGTGTACACATAATTCAAAAGTGCTTGGGGAAAAAAAAAAACATATATATATATATATTTGGACATCCTGCGCAAAAAAAGTATTCGCCATTAATTAATTTTAAATTATAATATGGGTTACACGACGTTAAATATGATATCTTCAATCCTGCCCCGTTTTGGGCCACTCCTGGGAAGTGCAGCCTTAGAAGTCTAAAAGCCGGCCTTCATGGAGCTGTCCTGTTCACTCGGTAGTGACAGCAGAGTAGACGCTATGCGTGTTGGAGGCCAATCGTGTCTCCGGTTAGGGTAACGTGACAACAGTCTCGAAGCTGGTGATAACGCTGAACACGGAAACTGCCTTAAGCCCACGGCCACACATAGCATCCACTGCACTATCAACCTTGGGCCGAACTGCCAACAGGATATAAGTGACCCATTCTCTCGTTGTGTTCATTGTTGCTATGCCCCTGAAGATTAGTCTTTGTGATCGCACCCCTGTTCTGGACTTCAGGGAGCTCTGCTTTTCAACTCCTGTTCTCCCTCTCCCTAAGCTGAAAGCATTGTAGAAGGTGCGCACTCGGCGGACCAATCAACTGTAGACTTTTTATCGCTTCACTCCGCTCTCTTTGCGCATGTTAGGGAAGGAGCCTGATCACGTGGTTTGACGGATGACGCATTATAGTCGGTTACAAGTCAAGAAGGTAGCGGCAAAAGCCCCTCAAAGGGAATCTTGTATTCCTCCGCCACCAATCGCGTCCCGTTGTTTCCGTGACGTCACGACCTGCCCGAACCAATCTTGTTCTGGCAAATGAATATTTTCAACATGGCTGCCGGGCAGATTTTCTACGACTCGAGTATCTTGCAGCAATTATTCTGTTTTTAATGCGGTTTTTCACTTACCCGAGCATACGTCGCTAAGTCGTTACCGCGTCCACTTTTATTCGCAATAGGTTCTGCGCGACAGCGTGACAATCCAGCGATAGCATTGCCATCGAAAATT